TCAAGTAAAGCCTGCCTATGATGAAAATTGGTCTTTAGTTTAAAAGTTGCAGTTCACTTCCAGACATGTTAAAAAAAACACTAAACCCAAGAACCAGAGAACACTTTTGCTCAGAAAATTTCTGTAGAGATGGTTCACAGAAGTAATCAGTACTTGATTTAAAAAAAAGAAAGGTAGAAAGCACTTACCAGAGGGAGACAAGGTTCTTTGGGTGAATCTGATATCTTTTATTAGACCAACTTAAATTCAGGTCAGGCTGAGGAAGCCTCTGTGGTTGGTGTGTGCTGTTCCTGGACACAGTGAATGTAATTGGAGTGGCAGCTGTGCTGTCTTTCTGAATAAGGAGGTCTTCACTGACCAAGCAGAAATATAAACCCCACTCAGGAAGTCCCAGACACCACGCCTGAAACTGAAATGTATTTTACCTTGTGCCTTCAGATACCTTGTTGAAAAGTCAGGGCTGTCTGTCCAAAAGCCTGTTCTATGCTGAATACATTTCAGTGAAGTAAGTGGCAGAGCTAACAGTGCATCTCAGTTTTCTCATTGACAGTGTATCATGTCACTTGGCGTCCAGGGACAACCATCAGTTATCTCCAGCACCAAAGATATTGTTATTGCTTTAAACGTTGCTTTGGCTTGGAGGGTGTTGTGGTTTTACAGCAGGGACTCTGTGTTTGCTCTTCCAGGAAGGAGAGACTTTGCTGGATTCTTTAACAGGCCAGCCTTACCCTGACGACGTACTCCTCTTCGCCATACCAATATGCGCGCCGTACACCACCATGACCAACTATAAGTGAGTTGCAGCAATCTGTCTGGAAAAAATCTTTGGCAATTTTTTGAAGCATTTTGAGCTAATTATATAACTTTTTTTTTTTTTCCCCCCCGTTTGAAAGGTATAAAGTGAAGCTTACACCAGGCACCCAGAAGAAAGGAAAAGGTACTTTCTGTGTAGAGCACTATGATCTTTTTTAACCTATTTGTTTCGGAAAGTATTTCCAGATACCATCTTAAATCTTTTTTTTTTTTCCTATACTCTTTCCAGCTGCTAAGACTGCCTTGCATAACTTCATGCATTCCAAAGAAGCGACTGCAAGAGAGAAAGATTTATTTCGCAGTGTAAAGGTAAATAACTCTCTGGCTTGTACAGAGGGCATTGCAGCTAGAATGAAGAGGAGCGCCGGTTCTGACCGGAGACACTTTTCAGAAGAAACAGTGTTTTCTGTTTTATTTTTGCATTCCTCAGAAGGCGCAAAAATATATAGATTTTAAAGACCAACCTTTGCTGACCCATGGGTGACACAAGTGAGCCCAGTGCTGCAGACATCATAACTTGCTCCCCATGTCAACCTTTTTTAATTTCCTGCAGTTTTAGGGTTTGTGATCACCATGTTGTCAGCAGCCCTGGGTTGTGGATTGTCAATCTAGTTTGACCTGCATGTCACAGGACTTTAATTTCACCTGGGTACCCAGCATGGACCTGAACAACTGCTCACTTGATTAGAAATGTGTTTAGACTTCAGCTATTAGTTCCTGTTGCATTTTCACTGCTAGTTTAAAGAGCCTTTTACTACTTTCTGTTTCTTCCTTGTGAAGGTACTTGCATGTAATGAAATCACTTACAGGTTCTAAGTTTAGACAGATTGGGTCTCATAGTTTCATAGTAGCTAGGGTCAGGAGGGACCTGAACAGATCATCTAGCCTGACCCCCTGCCACAGGCAGGAATGAATGCTGGGTTCACAAGACCCCAGACAGGTGATCGTCCAACCTCCTCTTGAATTTGCCCAAGGTAGGGGCGAGGACCACTTCCCTGGGAAGTTGGTTCCAGATTTTGGCCACCCGAACTGTAAAATATTGCCTTCTGGTCTCTGACCTAAACCTGTTCTGCATCAGCTTATTACATTTGTTCCTCGTCACCCCAGGTGGTGCTGGGGAGAAAAGGGCTCTGCCTATTTGCTGTTGATTTCCCCTGATGAGCTTGTAGGCAGCCACCAAGTCCCCCCTCAGCCTCCTCTTGCTGAGGCTGAACAGGTTCAGGTCCCTCAGTCTCTCCTCGTAGGCCCTGTCCTGTCCTGCTGCCCTCTCGCCAAGCAAGTGGCCTCCTCTGAACCCTCTCCAGGGTGGCCACATCCCTTTTGAAGTGCGGCACCCGGTACTGGACGCAGTACTCCAACTGTGGCCTGACCAAAGTCGCATAGAGCGGGAGGATCACCTCTCTGGACTGGCTTGAGATGCAC